TATATATATATATATACATTGTGTGTTTTGTTTATACAGAAGGTATTTGCTGGTGCGACTGATTTGGCCGGCGGCAGTTTGCATGCTGGCCTTCCCTTGTTCACTTCTAACCCGCGAACGGTCAGACGAAAATTGCCATCCTACCCAGGTGAACCGTTTCAACACAAATGGTAGGTGCTACCAGTTCATCGTTTCTCCTTTATTAACAGAAGCACATCAGCATTACTCATCCTTAAACACACTGAATAACCTGAATAAGACATCAACCGTCAGTTTTGTGATACATGTGTGCAATGACTATACGGTAGTGACCTCAGCACACTGTTGTAAACACTGCACCTTAGACGTTAGCAGACATTGTCACGGTCGCAGAGGGAACAATGTGTGAAAGCTCAGTTGGATTTCCGACTGTGGCTGGATACGTGTCACCAAATGTGGTGAACTGGCCAACTACAACGATTATTTACCGGAAACAACTAATAGTGGGTGAATTTGGTGGCTACCTGGTAGAGATGATTCTCATTTACTACTTTTGGAACAAAAATGGAAGCACGAAGTAAATTTACAGGGTTTATTACATTTCTACAGGTTTCCATCTGGAGTATGAAACTATGTCCATCGGTTTGTAGTTAGCCTTAAGAGTGGAATCGCAGCCAATTCAGTGGGTAACACAGCTACCAGATCGATGATATTTTAATTTTCAGGAAGTTTTTTGATGCAGTCATTTTAACTATCGGTATACCCACAGAAGTTCTTCATTCTTAGGCAACAACTTTTGTTGAGCAGATACTTCTGTTCTGTCTTTTCGTCAACCTTGTATTCGAATCATATTCTCACTATCCACAAAGTACAGGCTAATTTGGTGTCAACGGGAAACCCAACTAAACCGCTTGTGTTGATTAGGACTTACATAAGTGTGCTTTCTTACATCATATGTGGGGCAAAAGCTCATGCAGCTGCCTTTTCTATACTCTGGACTTTCATTTTCAAACCCGCTTCATTGTATTTCGCACGACTCTTGGCCTTCTCCATCGACAGTCACTACCCGTGCATGTTGCATTTAGGGAGAGATCAATGCCTCGAAAATATGCAGTAAAACGGTATTACACATTTATTGTGGGCTTAGACTCATGGAAAAATGCAACCCGTTATCTGTTCGCCATGGAGTTGATTCTAGCTTTTGAGGTGGGGTTGATGGTCAGTATAGCTTATCACCGGTAGTGAGCTAAGTAAACAATTTCGATTGATGGAACAGCGGGAGCATCTACCTGTCATGAGGTATTTACAAAGCAGCATGGCGAGACAGCTGATCTTTCGTCATGGTGCATATATTCGTTCGAATCCTATTTACCGCACTTTCAAAGACTCCTTTGCTTGCCTTACACGTGTCATGATCTTGAATTTCCCAACTCATGTCAGTCTCAATCCAAGTGTATGGGATCGGCCAGTGCACAAGGCAACTAAGGAACCGACTGGACAAACACTGGTCGAAGATTGTACTACTGCCACCAAGCCAGAGGAAAGACCGGTGAGCCAACCGACAGGAACGATTATGCAAACAGTCAAGCACGATCAACGTCAGTATCCGGTCAAAGTCTGCTCAGCACCTTCAAAACGGTGCGCTGACAAAGAACGATACACCGCCAAGCAACCAGGTATTGACGACGTAGCCTCGGGGAAACTTATCCCCAAAATTTGCCAAGTCCCGAGAACAGAACACCAGGGAACCGAGACACATCACTACTTAACACTGTGTCGCTCCGTACCGATAGATTATCGCCGTACTACCGATAAATTCTGTTACGTTGACAGAAAACAAAACGTGCTCTTCCATTGAAAATGCGACGATATGGGTGGCGCAAATCAGACGTATTAGACCACATATATCCAAAGCACAGCGCAGGTGTCCTGTTAATTCAGACTGAAACCTCGCGCTTTAGGGATGCAAGCATTGCTAAAGACCAGTGGCAAGTTGGACTAATTGTCCACTTCGATTCTGTTTCCGTCATTCACACTCAGTTAAATTCCATCATGAATTGTTATGACCTAGTTAGCAGTATAAACGTAGTTGGTGCACTGAAGCAGCAAAGAACGCTAGGTGATAGGGTGGAAATATGGGGAATGTTTAAACGTAATATTATATAATAAGCTCTCAAGCCTGACAGAATCTGTCATGACCCTGGTGTCCACAGTCATTGGAGTAGCGTGGTCTGGAGTTAAACTAAACAATCCAGAAATACACATGTTTGCTATTTATCGCCAAAAATAACAGACTAATAAGTTTTAAGTTTACAGTAAACTTTGTGGTGGTGCAAACAATGAATTAGCCACATGATGTGCACTAAAGTATGCGCTGCCCATTCCTATGATGTGTTGGAGCTTGCCCTGCGTCAAAGCGGATAACTCTGAAGCAGAACGCTCGAATTGCATATTTCTGACCCTTTGCTGTGCAAATTGCATAGAAAAAAATCGCCCAATTAATTGAATGGAAATGAAAAAGAGTCTCTTTTTCCAATGAAGAGTGGATAGTATCAGGAATATGTGTGGTTTGTGGTGGCAAATATTCGGTTTAATATCTGCGATCACAATTAGGTTCAGTTGTTGGCAGAAAATGTGATAAATTTAGGAGAGGTAAACGAAAGTGCAGCTGACTTGGGGATAGAATTTTGCTGAATCCAACTCTGTCTTCATCAGGGGCTGTTCTTTTCTTTCTACGGCTTGATTAATCCGAACTTCCATCAGCAAGCATCGTCAAGCATATAGGTTATTCAATGTTAGTTTTGTAACTCAAAAAATGCATGTGTACTTGAAGGTCCACACTTTACCCAACCTTACGGAACACGACATCGTTGATGTCTAGTGATTTCAAGATTAACTGTATCCTTCAAACCACGAAGCTGTGACTGCGAGGCTGCATGTAACAGTGACGGATATGATATCTCAAAGTTCTTCGACCTCAGTTCATTTGAGGTCATATAATGACACCTACATTAAATACGGTGACATGCTCCAAAAACACAAGTATTTTGTGAGCACCTTTGGGAAAGTGGGAACTTCCTGCGGTCTGCTATTTATGGTTCGTTTTCATTTGTCGTCTGAACTATCTGTAAAAGTGCTTTGCGACTGTCGTTTATGGTACCAGCCAGTTTTGCATTACACAAGGAGCCAGAATCACGATTTTGATCAAGGAATAGCATAGATACGAGACCTTTTCATCCCAGATGTCAAAGACCTTCCTTCCTGGAAGCATGTTCCATGCGTGGCATTCTGTCACGATGCAAATAAATCGCTGTACGGCTAAACTATTTTGGAGCTTAGCGATATTTCCTATACATTCATTGAATACTTTTTTATAACTCACCTGATCTGAGGGAATATAGTCTGCCTGGCGAATTATTCCAATACGGTCAAGGAAGCTGAGAACGCAAGAAGAAATCTTCAGTCATTTTGAAAAAAATGTAATCTTTCATACACAGTTACATTTTCCTTTAAATTCGAAAAAAGATTACATATTTTTTAAGTTTTAGATAAAACGGACAAAAGTGTAAACAAGTGGTTTCCCTTTTGAGAATTTTTGGCTAAGAATCGGAACACGGGAAAAAGTTAGACTCGCAAGCATGGGAAATATCATCTGTATGACTTATTTTCACTGAAATGGAGGAAGTTCTTTGCATTGTTACAGTTGGTTTCTTCTTTTTAAGACAAGTATTTTAATGGAGAACTGCAATCGAGACTTTCTTTCCAGTCTTTTTTCTAAGAGGGCGTATGCTATTGAGTGATGCCCATTACCAAGCAGTTCTCAGTGAGAAAAACGCAAGTTATTGAAACGTATTGAATATAAGCACCGTGGAAAAGATGGGAAATTTAATACTATGAAACTAGAAGCTACAGTATGCTTTTGGAAACGGTTTCCAGGAACTTCGAATAAGTTTTACCAGAACCAACATGCTTTGAAGTATATGAAAACGCAGAAAAACTGTGGAGGAGAGCGGTTCAGGAAACGATGACATCCGAAACAAACTGATAAGACAAACGTCCTTCGCCATAGCAGTTGCAGATGATGCGTAACAAAAGAAAGTTACTTTGAGCAAACTTTCAACCTGTAGTTTTTCAACGACAAAAGCATAGATTACGCCTAAAATTATGAATAAAACGCGCTGATAGAGAGGCGAATGCACCAAGTAATCATTCTGCGGTGATGTTTTGACAAAGCNCTGATAAGACAACGTCCTTCGCCATAGCAGTTGCAGATGATGCGTAACAAAAGAAAGTTACTTTGAGCAAACTTTCAACCTGTAGTTTTTCAACGACAAAAGCATAGATTACGCCTAAAATTATGAATAAAACGCGCTGATAGAGAGGCGAATGCACCAAGTAATCATTCTGCGGTGATGTTTTGACAAAGCGCTACAGCCATTTGGGTGAAAACAAAGTCCACAGATTTTGATTCTAAAGGTTCATCCTAAAAGTATACATAAAGTGAATCAAGGTAAACAGTAAGACAAATTTAATGAAGCAAAGTGGTGTTCAAATAGTGTGATGGGACTTTGTGGTCACTCAGATATCATCAAGTTACACAGTCTCAAAATTTTGGGTTCTTGCAAGCGGCCACGAATGCGAATTGGTATATGATAGCAAATTTGCGTTCATAAATCGCATTCCAACTAAATCTGTTATCGTTATATATCGTCGAGTTATCGGTAGAAATATTTTTTTCTTCAAAATGTGTGAAACAGAGTCGGTGCACAAGATAACTCTGTGACCTATAAGTGTAATTAACCATAACAAAAATGCGAACAAATTAGCATAATTCTTTCGGGAGAAAAAAGGTTTTGTAAATCAATTTACTTTTAACACAAGAAATAGACCATAGACAATTTAGGAGATCTTAGCAGCATTACGAATATTCTTTGCCATTTCAAATCAATTTTGCTTTTTGCCGATGTTATAACTTGATTGGTAGTGGAGTTAATTTGTGAGGGACTAAAAATCTATTCTGAATCTAAATGCATTTGTTTGAGGAATGTCTTTGACACTTCTCATATTTTACCCACAGCAGACCTACTGTAGGGAGCTGATGACTGTCCACAGACATTCAAAAATATATAGAAATTCGATTACTACCCTTCTGTTGAAAACTGTGGAGCTACTTCAAACTAAATTGTCTTTAACACTGCACTATTTTAAGAAGCAGAAAGTATACAAGGGAAGGCCTTTACTCAGTAGATGAATTATCTCAATACTGACGGGACAAGAAGTAATGTAGAAACAATTCCCGCCTGATCTTAGCAGTGAATATTACACGACCCCGTAATTAGTCGGGCTGGCAACAAAACACGTTGTTATCCAGCAATGGGTGACCATTAGGAGGTTCGGAGTGGACAGATTGCTTCAAATGTTCTCATTACGTGTGCACAGAGGAAATCTGGCCAGAGTAGAAAACACGGTATTAGCCACATCAACTTTATTCTTACTTATTGCCATTCGTGGAGTTGGTGAACTCCCGGTCATTTGATACTGGCTTGGCATGGTAATAATACTACCTACGAGCAACTATTGGGTGAACCGTTCCGTTCAAAACTGTATTCGTAAGGTAGGGCATTCAAGTCTTCCTCAGGATTCGTGAATCGCGCAGTGCCGCTGGTTTTAACAAGGACTGACTAAGTGAAGTTTGTCTCAGGCTAATCTCCCCGGTTTATTACGTACCCAGAACGCAGTAGAAGTGGAATCAGCTCACCTCTGGCAAAGGCATTGCTACTAATGATCTACTGGTATACAGAACCATTCAGAGATAACCCACTTGCATATGCTCAGTACCATCCATGGTGGCCTTTAGCCGGATAAGTAATATCCGAATACATCAAAAAGAAGGAAAAGCCTGAGAGCTATCGGTTCACTAATTGATGAGATACGGTTGCCATGAGTCTTACACCAAAAGAACAAAAGTTATATTGGTGAACAGTCTGGTGCATTTTCGGATGCCAATAGGTAACAGGGAAACTGACTTTCAACAAAGTTGTTTGTCACTGTTAAGTGTATCAAAAAACGGAGGCGGGTATAAGTAGATTATCAGAATATCAATCAAACCCATTACAATGATACCACATATCTTCATCAAACCGTCAATTTTTTACAAGAAATTCTAGCGTAGCTTACGTAGAAAAACTCGTGATAAGTTTCTATCCCTGAAAACAGCTTTTATCCGTAAGTGAGTTTGAACGTACTACATACAGGCTTGGGTGGCTCACGGGCGGCTGGTTCGAAGCCCTCTGATCTCTTTCTGCAATGAAGATTTCTAAAAACGAACTGTATATTTCTTGTGTTCCTGATAGGAGCAGATTATATTATACATATATTAAATATATAATATATAATATATTA